ACTCCTAAAACCTCTGTTCTTTCTTTTTATTCTTTACCTTGTGTCCTCTCAAAACAAGATCTGAGGATTTTAATGGCTCAGATTTGGGCCTAGACTGGTCCAAATGTGTCATATTCTACATACTTTTATTGAGACTGTGTGGTCTGTTGTGGGTTGATCTGGTCTAAATGTGGACTAGATTTTAATGTTTAATTTCCACAGGTGGCACTTGGTTTTGGGTCCTTGTATTGTGTTGGGTGTGGGTTTGGGGTGGTTGGTAATAATAAAAGTGAAACAAGTGCATAATTAAGGAAAACTGTGATGCACTCAGATCACCTTGCTGGAAGAGTTTACCTGAACTCTGTGAGGGAAGCTGACGGACGTTCAACCCAAAACAAAGGCCCAAAGGTGAATATGAAACTGTTTTGCTGAAATACACTAGTATATTGTCATTTTGTTTCTAACTTTTCCTTTGTGTTTGCAGGTTTGGGTGGTGTCCTCTAACCTTTCTACAGGTCTCAGTTTGTTATTTTCATTGTTAATTAGTTCATAGTTAATCTAAGATAAATCTACTTCATGTCTTGCAACTGTGAGACATGAAAATCATCTGCAGCAACTGTAGCAGATGTTGGTTTATTTTATTTGAAATTAGCTAAAGCTAAAACATGTCTACCATATGTTACTGACTAACCCTGGAGTTTTCAGGTTTTAGGTTGGTGTCTAACCCTTTTACAGCAGCTCTGTGATATCTACTACTGCTATAGAAGCTAAAGAGTGAAAAATGAACCTTTGCCTCCTTCTGAAGTTAAAAAGGCCCCAGAACTAAAGAAGAAGAATGGAAACTTATATCAGAGGTTATGCTCCAAAATATGGAATGAATGAAAGAACTGATCCAGACCACTTTGTTGGAAGAGTTTACCTAAACTCTGTTATGGGTTGGGCTTCAGCCAGCTTTCCCCCAAAGACCCAAAGGTAAATATTAAACTGTTTTGCTGAAATACACTAGTATTTTGTCATTTTGTTAATAACTTTTCCTTTGTGTTTGCAGGTTTGGGTGGTGTCCTCTAACCTTTCCACAGGTATCAGTTTATTATTATTATCATTGTTAATTAGTTCATAGTTAATCTAAGCTAAATATACTTCATGTCTTGCAACTGTGAGACATGAAAATCATCTGCGACAACTGTAGCAGATGTTAGTTTATTTTATTTGAAAACCGCTAAAGCTAAAATGTGATGACTGTCATGTTACTAACTCTTCAGTTTTCAGGTTGGAGAAACCCACGTCTTTTTAAAACCTGATCATTTGGAATAATCTTAAGGTACAGTATATTAATAATCTTAAGGTACAGTATATTTTAGTAGGGCATTTTTGAGGGAAATTCTCCCTCTGTTGATGATGAATGGGTCAAATGTAAAGTGCTGCTGGGACAGCCTGTCAGGAGCAGTGAGCTGCTGCCATACACCTGTGCAGGTTCTGCACAGAAAGAAACTTTCTTGCTGTGAGTGAGTGCTCAGCCACTCATGTTGACTTGAGTTTTGGTCCAAGGGTTGAGGCCCTTGTGTTCTGTCACTTTTTTCACTTTCCCAGCTGCAGGATTCACTGGATTCGTTGGTCTGTTCATGCAGACTTTAACTCAGGTAGGTGACATTTCTGTGTGAATCATCATCTCAAAACAAGGCCTGAATATGCTGAGGATTTTATGTTACAGTCCAAGGCTTTAGTTTTAGGCCTAAGCTGGTTTGAAAGTGGGCCATATTTAAATGTTGGCTCACTTTTATGGAGACTGCTGGTCTCTCTTGGTCTTATCTGGTCTAAATGTGGAGTGGGCCAGATTAAATGTTTACACCATCATTTCCACAGGTTTCATTTGGGCTTGGGCCCTTGTGTGTTTTTGGTGTGTGCCTCGAGTGGTCTAAATATGGACCAGATTTAAACAGGCTGGTAAAACGTGTTATGGTTGGGTGAAACTGAAATTATTTCTTGTGAACTAAGCCTTCAACAGTTTCAGAGTTAAAAAGGTGTGAAAACTGACTTGATCTTTGGGTTGTGTGTATGTTTTATATTTGGTTTGGTCTGAACTGGTCTAAACGTGGGCCAGATTTGGACTGGTTTAGAGTCTGATGGCTCTGGTCCTAACCCTGACACTAAACTGAAAGTCTAGTCGTCGTGTCCTAATCCAACTCTTCCCCAGGTTTGCACAGGATCTGTTCGTTTTAACCCGTTTGAAATACGTCGACATTTCTGTTTAAACGTTGTCTTAACTTTACAGGGTTAAAGGTTAAATGTCATATTAATATTTCCATGTGGGTGTTGTAAAATTGTTTCGGTCTTGTCTTGTGAAATGACAGTTCTAACCCTAACTCTTCTGACTCTTCTCATTGCAGATCTAAACTATTTTACTAAACTTTTAAACTAGTCTTTACAGGTCCAGAGGCTGCTGCTGTTTACTGTGAGTATATCTGCGCGCACTTACTAACACACTAACTCTGTACGAACACGGGCGGTGGGTCTAATCCAGCCACAGAAGGCGCTGTGTGTGTCCCTCTGTGCCAGTCCCCAGCCTGGATAAATGGAGAGGGTTGCTTCGGCGTAAAACCTGCCTCTTTTAGCCTGATCTTAAAGTGTGTATGGCAGATGTTTCAAATTATTTTTACTCGGTTTGGTGATATTTACTTGTGGTGAATATTTGTCATAGTCTTACATCAGTTTTGTGTTCGTTTCTGGACAAATGTTGAAAAGAAAAGCACAAAAATAAAGGCTGTAGTGTTTTTAAAAAGAAATACATCTATGGATAATTGAACTATTGTGTCATTTAGGGAAGTCTTGGCCCATTTTTCACAGTAAGGTTGCTAGGTAAAAGTTATGAAATTGGCTCTGTATGTTCTGTCCGTTCAACCAGGAAATAAAATGAGAAATTTTCATAAATATAATTGCTAACATACCATATGCACTTTAATATATTGACTGTACCAACTTAAATCTGTTTTTTATCTTGTAGCTTTAAAGTTATATTTATAGGTTTGATTTAGTCACTCGTTACCAAAATGTCTCCTGCTGCTAGAATAAAAAGTACATCTGTAAATATTGTAATGTTGAATAAAATGTGTAATGTGTGCAGAATTTAGAAAGAAAAAAAAATGTTTCTCAAACTGTGCAATACATCTGAAGTTTTGACTTTTACAGAGGAAAACCTAAGAACCATCCCGCGTCGCCCAGAGCAGTGGCGCCATCTGCTGGAGAAGGAAGACAAGAACCAGACCTCCGATTCACAATATTTGATGACTGACCAGATTTGTGATTTATTAAAATTTCAGATAAATTGCTTTTGATTTCACTTTTGAGTCTCAGTTCTTTATTTTTAAATAAGTTGAAAACGACAGATTGAAGATTTTCTTTACTAAATCCTAGTTGATTGTTTTACGGGATTGGCTATTTAATACTTTTTTTTTTTTCTGAAAAGTCATAAACCTGTCCTACCCCGGTCAGCTGACCCAGACCCCGTTGCTATGGTAACCGGTAGCCTGTCTTATTTTCAGGTTTTTCTGTCATGTCATTTGTTAAACGTGTTGTGATATTCAGATAATAATCTTTTTAGCTTTTTAGTAGTGTTTTTAGCTGAAGTTTGTGCTTTTGTCTCATAAGAGCTCAGTTATTGAAAAAAATGTCTGTTTTAACATAGTTCAATAGTGTTAATAGTTAAATAGTGCGTAAAAGAGCTCTGAGCCGACCAGCGAAGTGGGAAGCAACGCCTGATATAAGGTTTTGGTCATAAATGTGAAATCACACTGGTCACACTCAAATGGCTTTTCTCCAGTGTGGACTATCATATGAGTAATTTTAAGTGGCTGACTGTGAAAATGTCTCACAAATTTCATAGCAAATTAACTTTTCTCCAGTCTGGATTGTGGTGTGTACTTTAAGGTGTTCTGTTCTAGAAAAACTGATCCCACACTGATCACATTCGTTTGGTTTGCCTTGATTGTGCATTTTTTTTATGACTAAGGGCACCAGATTGATTATATGTCGCCCCACACTGGTCGCACTCGTTTTTCTCTTGTGTGAGTTATTGTGTGAGTTCTGTAGTTATGTAGTGTCTTTTCAAACAGGAAGCATAGGGCCACTTCTTTCCACACTGGTCACAGGAGAACGTCATTCTGTTGGTGGGGTTGTTGCAAGGTCGTTGTTCTGCATATACAAATTAAATGGACATGTCAGGCTATTAAAGGCAACAGATAACTATTTGCCATATAGATGCAACTATTTATTTGTTTATATTAAATATGAGGGCCAGAGGACTTTCAGAGTATATTTGTTAATTTACTCAGATCACTGAAAAAAGAGAGAAAATGTTTATTAGAATATTGCAGCAACCTTTTTCAGTTGTGGACCCCATCATAACAAAAGTTGGCACTTGCAACCCCCAAACACACATACAAAAAACTACCCACAAACCTAAAGTAGCTTTATGTGTAATGTTTGATGCTAATTTGATAGAAGTGCAAAGGGCCAAGGGTCAGGCACAGAATACAATTCAAAAGTTAGGCTTCGATAAACAATTTAGTAGGCCAGCATAAAGGAATCAACATTTACCACTGCGTTTGAAGGGTGCCATGGTGTCAAGCCTTAAAAGAAAAGAAATAGAGTCACTGAGAGGAAATAATTTGGAACCACAAGCCTATTAAACACCAGAGGAAATTTTATTGCAAACGAATTGGGTTATTTTGCACAATTTTTACATTGTTAATTTTTAATAAAACAATAAAAAAGAACAATAAATAAGATACCATTACTACGATAACAAAACTGTCAAATTTACTCATCACTAGGATTGGCACAAGGGCAGTTCACAAAAGTACCAGGATGTTCAAGTGTTATAGGACAAATTAAGCATGATGCAGAAAGCATACATAACCTGAGACCAGTGTTGCATAATGATGATGATTATTTATTACATTGAGAGACCTTTCAGCATTTGACTGCATTGTTTACCTTTCAGCAAAAGCCTACATAACCTAAAGCTAAGTCGGTGTGTCCTGTTGAGACTTTGGGATACTTTCTACCGATTGATCCTCCACAGGCTCCACACTAAGCAGTGTTTGTGAGGTCTTACAGATATACATTTCTCCTGGACCATTTTCCGTCAGAGACTGATTTAGCTGCATGAAAGTTTGCTTCTTTTCAGGTCTGACCATAGTAGTTGTGATCACAGAGTCACTAAATATTGTGTTGGAGAAAACTGAGTTATAAGTGAATGCTGAACCAAAAGCTGACTCCTGCACAGGGGACTTTGGGCGGTCAGAAGGAACAGCGGCTGGGTCTCTTGGAGGTTTAACTGGAGGAGCTGGCTCATTGTGCTTGCCTATTTCTATATGTTTTGTTGAACTTGATTCATCTTGCTCTGTTATACTCTCAGAGACTTGGACAGGTAGGGGATCAAGCTTTACCGTGCAGTCACTACTGACACTTGAGCATCTGGATGAATTCTCTGCTTTGGAAATAATACCCCCAGCATGAGGAAGGCTTTTAGCAGACTTGGTCCCTTTAAGTCTTCCCTCTTTACCAACAGGTGTAGAGAAACAGTTTAGGCACCCAGACATTGAAGATGATTTTCCTTGGACATACAACACTGTGATTGGAGAACAAGCAACAACTCTAGTTGTTGCAGTGTTTCCTAAATCTGATTTTGAATCAGTCTCACTTTCCTCTTGGTTTGTTTTCTCACTGTTTGAAGCATCTGACAGGCAGTATGTAAACTTGCTCTTTGAACCTCTTCTGAGGCTCTTTGTGCCTCTTGTGAGCCAGAAATCCTGAGTTGGTCCAGGATCCTTTTTCTTGTCTTTGGACGCAACATCAGAAGACTTCCGCAGGTGACCATGTTGTGGAGTAGAAGCATCAGCAGGAGGTTGAGTGGAAATTGAATTGTGATATGGTTGGGGCAGTTGGACTGGGCTGCTGCCACTGGACCAGGGCTGATTATCAAGGCTCACATTGAACTCTCCGCTGCTCTCACTTTGGGCTCGGCTTTGAGTGCCATTTGGATCTGGAAAGAAAAAGACATTTAGGTAAATTAAATTAAAATACAACAGTACAGTAGCATAACATGAAGCCCTACAATGTGCTACTCAAGTTAGCCTTCTATCCCATTAAATGATTCTCATGTTCAGCTCTTCCCCTGTCTGTCTGTGTTACTGTGCCTGCAGTGCATGTAGGTCGCAAAAGAAACAGAGTGAGCATAGAGTCATAGTTGTGCCTCTAGCTGGTAATACATCATGTCACCACCAGTGGACAGTAAAAGCAAGCTTTTCAGCTTTGGTTTATCCAACGTGGTCAGCACAGAGATTAATATAAAACAAGGTCATGGTTGCAATTTGATGGTTTTAGTCTAATTCCTAGACTGGTAATACATCTGTATGATGCCGGAATCCGTTAAATGAGAATCCACAGAGATTTACCATGGTTTTGAAGCTCATCGTTATCTTCCACTCCAGATGGCACAGCACTGTCATTTGAATCCTTATCTGTAGGCAGAATAAGATGAACACATGATTTAAAAATTACATGAAAATATTTACACATTCTATACTCCAAGAAGCATGTTGATAACAAAACAAAACTAAACAAGCATAAAAAACATGTCATCTACCTGTTACCCATAGGTCACACACATCAAGGGCAGTCTCAGAGTGGTGGTGAGTGGGCAGATGAAGGGTTTCTGATTTGGAATGATGAAGGTTGAAGATGGATAGGATGGAGGTTGTAAAAGATGAAGTCATTGTGTCCTCCGAGTTTATTTCTGTATCTGACTTGTCGAGCTTCCGCATGCTGCCTGCCCACCTCTCATCTCTGAGTGGGGACGAGGGGTGCACTAAACTAGTCAAGGCTACATTGGAGGGTCAAAGAATGAGAATGGGGTGAAAACAAAGATATTTGAATATCATTTTTTGGAAAAGATAAAAAAAAAACCTGCTAGTATCCTTCTGCAATGTGATACAATTCTGACCTATTGTTGACCTGAAATATAACACTGACCTAAAATTTATGACAACAACAATTTCACTTTACAATGAAATTTGAGTTTTATGAAGTGAATTACTGACTATGAAAATTTTGCTTTAAATCCTGACAATTAATATTGAGATATGAACATATTAACAACACAATTAAAATGGAAAGTGCTAATAATTAAATTGTAAGTAGATAGTAAATGAATGTTAAGCTAACAGTGGTTTCTTACACATGGAACGACGAAAGATGGACTTGGCTTTGTCTTTGTCCTTAAGTCTCTTCTTCATACGAGGAAATATTTTGAGAGAGGCTATTTCCAAGTATAAAAATGTGATGTAGAGACAGGTGAGGGGAGAAAGAAGGACAATTAGCAGGGAGGGGAAATACAGCAAAAAGGAACATACATTGACACAAGACAAAGGAAAAATGTTTAAGGAAAGTTACACACATCAAGCAACATTCTGTATGAATTCTGAATAGATCTATGTGTCTAATAACATACACAATAACAAACTGACCACTGGTCTAATTGAATTTATTTGAGTTTTTATATTCTGTAAATATTGTCAAAGAAAATAATTTGAGCAATGCTGATGTTCTGTGTCCTTCAGATACTGATTTTACCAGCCTGCACATCTCTGTCTGACTTGAAAGCAATGTTTTGGCTTTAAAGCAGGTGGGATCTTTTGTCGTAGGCTGGTGCTTTCTTTCTTGTCTGAAAGTGATGAGGCTGTACCAGATCTATTAAAATCTGGCAGCTCATACTTACTGCTGCTGTAACGAGGTGGTGTCATGTGACCTGATGGTGAGGAAGACACCCCATCAAGGCCTATGAAAGAGCTGTTATTATGACGCAGGAGGTGTGGGTCTGTCCCAGGATGAGTTGGCGAAGGTGGTTGTTCTGAACCACTATCACGGCTACTAGATTTGATTAGCCTCTTCAGTTTAAGTGTGAGCCAATTTCCACGCCTGTGGACAAGTACAACCAAAAGACAACCAAAAGAATAAGAGGACTACTATTATTTATTACATATCCACAGTTCTATTTTTCAGTAATAGCACATGCAGTTAATTCCCACAGTAAATGAAACTACAACGTTTTTTTTAACTGTAGAAAAGCTAATAACTATTAATTTATGTCAATTAAAAATTTACCTTCGAGGAGGAGATGGTTCATAAAATTTGTACTGGTCCATTATCTTTTCTTCAAGCTTTTCCTTCTGCCTTCTCAGATCATTTAGCTTATCACTGAGTTGAGAAAAAACTAATTAAATATTGCAAAGCAAAAATAAAACTCAAGCATACTGGCTTGTCAAAGCCTGATCTTGTCAGATCTTAGAATCTAAGCAAGGCCGGGCCTGGTTAGTACTTGGATGGAAGACCACTGGGAATATCAGATGCCACAGTCGGGTGCCAGTCATTGTGTCCTTAAGCAGGACACTTCACCCACATTGCCTATTCTGAAAGGGGTGTGTGAGTGAGTGCATAGATTGGCAACCTCACTCATGTCAGTCTGCCCCAGGGCAGCTGTGGCTACTATAGTAGCTTAGCACCACAGAGTGTGGCGTGAATGAATAATGTACTGTAAGGTGCTTTGGGTGCTTTGAAAAGCACTATATGACTCCAGTGGTTAATTTATTAATTAGTGTTTTAATGACTTACATGTACTGTCTCTCCTCAACATGAAACAGATCTTTGCTTTCCATGGTCTGCTCCAACAAAGTTCTGTTTTGAATCATAAGGGTCTCAATCTGGTTGAGTAAGTGCCGGTTCTCTTCCTCCAAGTTGCCTTTGAGCTGGCCCAATAACTGTAACACAATTATTGAAGACTTTATTCATGTCAGGCACCAGCTGAACATTGTATGTACTGCATTTACTGCCAACTTGTACCTCACACTGATTGCCCAGTTTGGTGGAGGTAATGTCCAATTCTTGAAACTCCTTTTTAAGTTTAGAGAAATCAGCCTGTAGCCAGGTGTGCTCAAGTTTGGCCTCATTAAGCTGACTTTTGACTTCTTTGTGATCAGTGGTCAGTAACTCATGATCATTGAGAAGCTGACGGTAGGTTTGGTTAAGCCTTTGAGAAAATAAGGAAATATATCAACAGTTTCTGAAATTACAAATTGTAAATGTTTGTATTTCTCACCAGTCCTTCTCATCTCGAAGCCTGCAGCACTCAGCAGCTGTTGCCCTATGTTGTTCTTTTTCCATTGAGATCTTCACCTGTTCTTCTTTCAGGGTTTTCTCAAGTTCTTCAAGTTTAGTCCGCTGCAGTACTAATGTGTTGTACCTAAATATAAGCCATAATTGATACCGATTTTCATAATATAAAGTTGTATGAAAGTTGTATGTTCTTGCGTTGGCCTCACCTGTCCTGCAGTGAGCGGTTCTCCAGTTCTAGTGTGCGGTGTGCCTTTTTCAGACATCCATGTTTGCCCATCAGAGCCTCATACTCCATGGCCTGTCTCTCATGCAGGGCTGTGAGTCTCTCATGATCTCGTAACAGCTGCTCATGAAGTGAACGTAGCTCCTCTCTCTCACGTGCGGCAGTGTCACGCTCGCTCTCTGTCCTTGTCTGCTGCTGTTGCAATTGGGAATTCTGAACCAGCAGAGAAGCACACTGGGAGTTCAGAGTAGACTTCTCCACCTGGAACAAGTTATCAGGTTGTTCATTTACTAATTTATTAAGTGTACATTTGTACATGTGTTATAAAGTAAAGTAATAATTACCTGCAGATTAGCATTATGTGTTTGAAGAGCAGTGTTGTTCTCTTGTAAAACTGTAGCTTGTCTTTGGAGAGCAAGGACTTGTGCTTGCTGAGTATTTGACTGACTGTCTAGCTGCTTCACATGGGCCTGCATACCCTGGCGCTCTGCCTCCAGCCTTGCATTCTAAAAAATGATAGGGGAGGCGTTAATCACTGAAGAATCAAACAAAATAGAAAATAGATCCCCACTTACATTCCGCTCCACTTTTATCAGTCTGTCTTTAAGTTTTAGCAGCTCCTTAGTTGCCTCTTGACTTTCTCGTACCCATTCACTCATTGCCTTGCCTGTTTCCTTTGGGGGAACAGAGCTCAGTGTAGATTCTTCATCTAGCCTCTGTTGCAGAGCCTCATAGTTTAATTTTACCTAGACAGTGAGAAATCACGACTTATTACAGGTTTAATAATGTGTGTCTAATTTAAACCAAGTTATTGTGAACATACAGTTTTAAGATCCTGGCGTAGTTGCAGATTAAGTGTTGAAGATTCCTGTAACCGAGCTTCTAGTGCTTCCATCTTTTCTTCTTTAATCTGAAGAGACTTCTTAAGAGATAACTCAAGCTCAGACTCCAACATCTTAACCCTACTGCAAGAAAAAAAAAAAAAAAGTGTGACATTTTTTACTGTACACTGTCTGTAAAATACTTACTTTGTATCAAGTGCATGTTGTTCCTTTTGAACATCATTCATCTCCAGTTCACGTGTCAACCTTTCCAAATCATTGTGTTTTTGCTGATTTTTGAGTTTCTCGCTGACCAGTTCCTGTAGCAAATATGTGGCTACTGTTTATTTTATGCACTTTAGGATATGTATTACATAGGCACAACACGTTGAAAAAGACTGTTTGTCTCACCTCTCTGAGAGTGGCCAGTGTCCTCTGGTCCATTGCACTTTGCTTGCTCAGTTCTCTGTTGTCTCTCTCAATGGATTTGACTCTTTCAGCAGCCTCCTTTAAATTCTCCAGCTCCTTTATAAGAAAACGTGTCTCCTTCTCCAGACTGGCTATACGGACATTACTGCTGTCTAAATTTGCATCTTGGATTTCAGCCTGAAATATAGCATGAATCAGTTTTATTGAGCTGTTTTATTGTGTGTTTGTCTTTTCAAATAATGATTCCTTACTTGTTGGTGAAGTCGTCTGTTTTCTTTTTCTAATTGTCTCCTCTCTCTCTCCAGAACAGTATTTTCCTGCTCGAGAGTAGACTTCTCTGTTTCCAGCTGCTCTAGTCTTCGTGTAGAAATGCGTAGATCTTCCAAAGTGGCTTGCAAAGTCTGATTTTCTGTCTCCAGCTCTTGAACCTCTGCCTCTAGACGCTGAACTTTTCGATCTAAATAAGTAACACAAACTTTGTCAGATGTTCACAAAAACATGTTAAAGCTCTTACCAAGACTTACCAGTGTTGTCTAATGCAGTCTGTAGATGTTGGTTGAGTATGTCCAGGTTCTTGCATTTGGCCTCCAGTCGCTGTGTGTGTTTGCTGTTGTAGGAGGAGTAAGTTGGCAGACCAGTGCTGGCGATGGTTGCATGGCTCAGGCTTGAGTTCTTTGAGCCAGAAGTGTGAACTCTCTCTGGCTCAACACAACAAAGCCGCTGATTGTGGTAGTTTTCATGATCTTCTAGGTCTTCTGAATGCATGCCACCAACTCCATTTTCCACTGGTACTTTCTCCTGTGTAAGGAAATCTGTCCCTTCTGTATAAAAGATCTTAGTTTGGACCTGCTCCAATGAGACAGGGTAGGCTTGAGTGTAGTTCACATCTCCATTCCATATCTCTTCTGCTGAACTGTTCATTTGATTTACTGAATGTGAGTTTGGTGACTGTAATCCTTTAGATACTTCAGAGCTCCTTGGGACAGCTGTAAGTTCTTCAATGGTTCTCAACAGACTTTGGTTTTCCTTTTCAAGTTTTAGCATCCGGCTATGGGTATTTTCACTCACTTCCTCACTTAAACTTAGTGGACCTTAAAACATATAAGAAAGCCTTTTAAATATTGCAACAAGCAGAGATTCCACCAAATGTGGAATCACCTAATTTTGAAAAAAATTACTTCAGTTAAATTTTAGTCATAAGTCACACTGTACTGCATCTGATATGTCTACAAACTAGCAACGCACTCAAAGTGACCCCATTTTGGAACAAAGCCTCATTTTCAATGTAAAGTACCAGCAGACAAAAGAAGGAATGCATGCATTAGCATTCTTACATAATGTGTCTCCTCTCTCATACAAACTCACTTACCCTGGCAGTTCTCATTAGTCTTAGAAAGTTGGTCTAATTCCCAACCCAGGTGTTGAGACTCCTCCATACTCCTCCTCTGGGCCATGTACAGACTGAGGTTCTCTTCCTGCAGATCCTCAAAGCGCTTTTGGCCCACCTCTTTTTCCTGTACCAAGACTTTTCAGTAAGCTCTGACACTAACAGTGCAATGACAATGTCAGTGTGTGTAGTTGCTTCACCTGCTCTAAGTCCTGAACTTGAGCTTTCAACAGCAGACACTGCTTCTCAAGTTGATGGATTTTATCAGAGCGTGACCTCCAACCCTCTAGCTGCTCCTCCAAGACCTCTTTGGTCTCTAGTAACACCCTGTTGTCCTCTTTGAGCTCCTGTAAACGAAGACATTGTTGTAATGTTATCTATTTAGTTAACAATCTTGACATAAGACATAAACTTCTTGTCTGTTCTAACCTCCATTTTAGCCTTATAAAAGTCCATCTTGTGAAGTTGATCCCTGTAGCGCCCAATTTCACTTTCAAGCTTGTCTGCTCTTATAGCTCTCTCTCTCATAGAGTCCAGTTCATCACGATATGTCCGAGCTGTACGGGCATCCACAAGCAGCTGGGAATTCTATAAAACACAAATGATAAAAGAACTTTATTGTAACAACACTGGACAACATCTGCACATTTCTTTATCTGTCTTCAGTGGCTAAAAAATCTGCAATGTACACTCTAATGACCACATATGTTGTTTTAGAGTTATGAGTCCTCACCTCCTGTTGAATCCTCTTCAGGTCTATCGCCATGCTCTCCAGTTCATGTCTGCAGTCCAGCATCTGTTCAATTTTTTCTTCTCTGTGACCAACACAAAAGGTGAGTTCTTTAGTTAGAACAGACATGTTATACACAGGGGTCTAGAAGTGTAAGTTAAATCAATCAATATTTACACATCAATATTTACACATAGTGAAGGAAGAGGATTTGAACATGATTATTGTTTTGTGGCAGTGCAGTATCTGTAGAAATGCAGTGCTAATATGGGTCAGTGGTAGTAGAGCTCTGCTATAGAATTTGCCAAGCACACAGCAATGTTGGCCAATCTCCCTCAGGCCAACTCTTGTCCAACTCTGCCTTTTACTCACTGTCTATTAGTAATTTACAATATGCTTCAGTGCAGTGTGCCTTTCTAATTATTACTGGAACCTAAAACAAAAGTATCTCATGTGCAGTCTACATACAGCTCCTGCTTAAGTCTTCTGATCTTGGCTTTGGAGTCGGCCAGCTCCACTGACAGGTGCTGCTGAGCCCCTCTCTGCTGCTGCTCCATGCTGGACTGTGGGCCACTCTGCTGGCTACAGCCATCATCCCAGTCTTGCATTAGCTCTGTGATGGTCTGTTCAACAGAACACATAGTCAACAAATGTATGAATAGTATGTGTACTCAACAGACATATTCTTGCCATACAATACCTCCAAATAGGTGTCTCTTTGATCCAGCAGGCTATGGATGTGTAAAGCCATCCTCCTGGCTATATCCTCTAGTTCATCAGGTTGCCCTTCTCTGATCTCCAACCAGTGCAGATCCAAAACATTCTCCTGGCTGTGGGTCAACTGAGAAATGATGACAATTGCACATGTATTTTAGTTATTACTGCATAAGGACTTCTTGTTAACAGAACTCTAATATATAAAAACATACCTCTTGAATATGAGCAGCTATAGCAGCTTTAGTATCAAATTCAAGAGTTTGGATCCTTTCAATGTAGCCCTCTTTATTTTCACACTGAATAAAATAATGAGTAAAAAGGAATAAAGGAATAAAGAAATAAATATGTATATTTATATATGTATATATTTATATTTATATATAGTATACTGTAAGTACCTGGACTGCACATCCCAAAAGCAATAGTAACAGCTTTTTCATTTCCTCTAAAGCTTGCTCTGTAAATGTACAGATTAATTATTGGTCATGGGCATAAATATTGATACAAATGTTCCAGGAAAATATGACATACCACAATATGGAGTCTTATGCAGCAGCAACACATTTGGCAAGGGGGTCATGATTAACTGTTTAAGATGATCCTGTAGAATATAATACATTTAAAACAAGCACATAAAAACAAAGCAATGTCTGGATGATCTGAGTATTTAGAACAGCTCACAATCAGACATGCTCAACACACACAGTTTGTTAACTCATGCAGCAGTTTGACATATATCCCTAAAAACAAATGAAAATTATTTTTTCATAACTGTGCGATACAATGCTAGAATTTCTACACTGTGGGGAAAATAAAGGTTCTCTTGCTGCTCGTACAGAAGCTTTAATGCCACTACATCACACAGATGTTTACATGGTTAATATTTAGGACACGTCTTAAAGAGAACTAGATAATCCATGCACAAGAAAATGCCACCAACTACTGATTATCAGATGTAACTGGGAGTCATAGGGCACTTCACACTCATACATACTTCATAAATGATCCATGATTTACAATATTGCTGCATTAGAATAACAGATGCATGCACACAGATATCCTATGTATGGCATAACTTTCATCAAGTTTATGAAAAACATTTTATGTAATTATAACACAGCAAGTTTTCTGTACTAGCGGGAAGAGTGCACCTGGTAATAAGTCTTGATCTGCTGGACAAGGAGACTTAGATTATGAATCCTGTTTACTTTGGTCAGGTCCTGAGGTGTAGTTGAAGAACTTCTGGAAGAAGAAAATACATTTTCAAGACACAAACATTCTACATATCTACAGCTGAGTTTGTTAACTGAAACCACACTTGATTTCTCTGTGTGCAATAGTACACAATAAAAAATGTTGTGTGTGAATTAGTCTTTAGTGTTTTAAAGATACGTCATGCTATGAAACACATGTGGTTAGTAGTGACATTAGTAATACTGACAGTAGCAATTTTGGTTCGTTTGTCTGACCCTCATCACCCCCCAACCCCCCATCTGTACTACTGTTCCACTATGCAGGCCCTAATCCCAGAGTGTCTCACAATCCAACAGATTATCCCGCCTCTTCCTTTCTGCACATTGTTTTTTACGATTAAACCAGTTATTGTTAGTTATACCAAATAAATCTCATTTAACATGGCATGCTATGCACATATCCATTTAGCATGTACTGTAGGCCATCATAGTGTGGTTCTGTGGGATATGTTTTTTTTCATGGCCGATGCCCATTGTTTAGAATTCAGAGCAATTGATGGTCAATAAGATCTGTTGATATTTTTGATCTGATATATCTGGCAGGTTTTGATCCTGATATTTTATCCAAATTATGCTTTTTTTTTTTTTAAAGCAAACCCATAATGAGCTGGGCAGTCATGTTTTGTGCAGGTATCTCTTTGCATGTTAAAATAAACTTTGCATGCATTCTTTTGGCAGGTGGTCGGCCAAAACAAAATATCGGCCTGTGCTGGAAATTTGAGGCAGATCAGCTAAAAAGGGCAAATATCAGCCCAATTTCTATGTGGGACTACTTTGTCTTTGAATTCACTACAGCCTTAGTTACATGGCAGACTGTCAGGGGAGCATGAGGCTGTCATGTTGGAGGGTAATGCCTTAAGAACATAAGGGGCCCCAAATCATAATCTCTTAAGTAGCCTCTTGACAGCCTGTATGATGCCCCCTTGATTTGGAATATCTGAAGCAGTTTTTCCTAAATTATAGCTATTTTACATTATGTAATTTCTTTCTGATTTAATTTTACTCTGAACGATTCTATTACTGTGTGTAGCCTAATTTATTGTAACTTACATTTGACTCATGATGTCGTTCAGAAACACTCCGTCCAACAGAACAGACAAGTCAAAGTGCATAGTTTGATCCTCAGGCATAAACGTCTTGACCTTATCATAAAACAATCAGTAGTTAGAAAACTGAGTTGATGGTAACTTGTAGTCTGCAACATCATGTCTGCATTCACCACAACATACCCAAGTGACGAGTGGGCTCATCATGAACTGATCCAGATAGGGTAGAAAAACTCCACTCTCCATGGTTGCAAGCGGTGGCGTGAATAAAAACCTTAATAATGAGTAACGGTAATCATCAGTGTAGACATCCTCTGACCCCGAGCTGGCACGACCGTCCCATGCGCTTCAGCAGAAAACTAATTTAACTGTAGCTTTAAGTTTAGTACCCTGGTTTAACCACTCACTAAAGTTAAATTCTGAAATTTCGCCGTTTCGATGCGGAGGATTCACGTTTGACAAACAAGTCCGTTGTTCTGTCCCTGCCACAACATCCTCTCGAGTCGTCCTCTGCAAAGGCATCTGTCGTCGGTCCCCCTACCCCCTCTCCCCCTCTCTCCCGCTGCCCGCCAGACTTGGCAGTAATGCACTTTTGCACCGGTAATCCAAACGCAGTTACACAGCCGTAGATAAATGCTCCAATTTGAAATGTTTGGCCTACTTAAAAACACACACATGCACACAAAAATGGAGCCATCTTAAAACCAAATGCTAAAGAATACTGGAATATCTTCGCCTTTAATCTGTAGCTATGACAACGCTGGCCCCGCCCTTTGCATCAGTAGTTGTTTTTTTTTGTAGCACAACAAAATCACCCGCTTCACCCTGACAGGACATCATCTCACCCAAAGAAAAGGAGCGTCAGCCCCTCAGCTGTTTCCTGTAGAAGGAAGGATTTGGGTGAAACCTACGTCAGTATGAATGTTATTATTACTTAAATGTCATGCTTAAGATTTACCTTATTATTTTAAGTCCAAAAGTTTTGGTAACGTGACGAACGCACGCAAAAAAAGAAGAGGGAAAAAAAAGCCTGTATCGCCATCTAGTGGCGCTACCAGATACTACTATTTCCCTGTGGTGGAAATACTGTAGTTCTACTGGAAATTTGTACTCCAGTAAAAGTTCTCTTGGTAAAAGTAGGCTACAGTTACATGGCTAAAAACCTACTCAATTACAAGTAGACTGTAGTTTCTTAAGTAAAAAGACACTTGAAAACAGAACGACTAGGCTACACAATTGAAATCAGCAACACTTTTAAAAATGTGTTTTATAGTCTGAGGAATCAATGAAATAAGACAATACTTGTTGAGATAATATAGACATTAACTATATCAATTCCAGGCAGCATTGCTAAAAAGTTCATTGGGACTCTAACAATAAAACAAATAGATATTCTATTCTAGTAGGCACAATTTTTAATTCACACATTAAACAATTCATACAATTGCATATGTTGTGATATTATTGTAACATTCATGCTTCAGTGGATGCTTTATTAAATACATATTCAATGTTAACACTTGCGCTGCTATCAACGAATATTAAGTAAAATACATCACAGATTACCAGTAGTGTTAAAGGTTTAACAGTCTTCATTATAAATGATCGAATTGCGTGTAGTGCATTCTGCGCTCATGAGTGCTCATAGGGAGGATATTGAATCATTTTCCCTCTCCTTTGTCTTTGAATTGCATTCTCTGTATTTGCTGTTTTGATGATTACTTCCTTGATGGCTCTTGGCATAACGTGATCTCCAGTCTCTATCAAAAGCTGCTCTGACTTGGCCGATGATTGTCCTTCCTCTATTTTTAAGATTATTCTGCATCATAATTACAAGCCCCACTCCTGCATTAATGGCAAAGTCACTACCGACCCAGTTGTGGTTACCTATGAAAAGATCACAATAAACTTATTTGCATAATATATCATTTATAATCTTTCAGTAATTTATAGCTTACCAATATATAAAGCGTTATCAGTCACCATGTATTTGTTGTGATTGAGAAGGTCTTGGAAGTCCCCCTTTTTCTCCTTTTGACTAAAGAATCTCTGCAAAGAAAAAGAATTAAAGAAAAAAAAAAGAAAGAAAAAAAATAGTATGTTTATTATACTCTTATTCCTGACCAAATAGTGCTGAATTGTCTCTTTTTTGTACCACTTCAAGGGAGCAGTTGTGAAGTTCCAAACAAAGTGACTTCAAGGAAGAGACGAAGTTGAAGGTGAGAGGGTGAGTTTTTTTCCAGTGAGTAATAAGCATGCGAACTTTGACCCCTCTCAGCATCACAGCTTCTCTGATGACCTCATCAATAGGTGACCAATACCTGAGGGGAAACTATTCTTTATACACTTGGCCTACAGTATTTCTAACCACAATCACTGGGGTTTGTATAAAATTAGATCTCAGTACTGTGTAAAAGTATAATTAATTTAATCTATGATTAATTAATAAATGTAATGTTTTTGTGGAGACATTATTTAACAATATACACATTTTTAGATATTGTCTATAATAGAAACAAAAACATTATAAAGCAAATATAAGGGTAAAAAGGGTGAATTAAGTGATAGTTCTGCTTGTTTGTAATTCATTTTCAGGTCTTTCATTTGTGTGTAATGCTTAAACCTCAAGGACGGATATGTACACATAATATAAAATTGCTTGTCGCTAGTGCAGATGATCATGTTATGATGTTCTCCGAAACCCAATGTGTCAAAGATGGTAGTTGGATGTAGGAATACCTGGTATCTGCACCTCCTCTGAGCTTCCTGTTGACCAATGGGAGGTAGTCTGTCACCGAGATGAAGATGAATGATTTTGCACTGTGAATGACTTGATATATGGCATCTACATCTTTGGTCCGATCTTTAGCACAGAAGAGTTCAGGAGAGGTCTGCATGAGGAATACATCATAAATACAAGACTTAATTTAAGTCATTTTCAGAGGCCAACAATTGGTATATATCAAACAGAGCTTCATCATCCAGTGAAGCTGTACTTGTAGTTATGTACTATTTGCTAAATATAAATGTTTTTACATGCAAGGGCAGTCAAATTATTTCTTTTCTATAAGTTTAAAACGAGGCAGAAAAGATGGTTGAAGGTGCCTCCTGCAACAATTTTTGATTTGACTTTTGAGTGATTTGTTGCTTTTGAGGGAAACACGATTTATTTCTGTCAAATGGGTTAGGGTTAGGGTTATAATAAATGCAATAAAATACACTCCTCTCTATTCTCTTTACTAGTTAGATTTAATATCAAACTTATTCAGGTGGTGAAAGAAAGAAATTAAAAGTAGAGAGTATAGTGTTAGAAGTAGTACTAGTTTAGTTAGTGGTATCTTTCTGTAAATCTATTTTTGTCACTACTTTATTTTAACCTGTGTAATAGCCATTTTACTTCCACAGTATTCAATGTATGCAGTTGCTCACAGAAACAAAAGTTGTGGCTTCAGTTTCATTGACTTGGAGCTCCAGTGGCTCGTCTATTTTGTAGAGGGCTGAGACTCTTCTAGACCAGATGGTGGGGATGTAGTCTCTCTCATGTAGCTGCCAGTAAAAGGAGAAGACTCTGTGCAGGTCCAGAGCCAGACAGCTGCAGTTATACAGCACCAGCCCCATTTCTTTCCTCTGTGGAGGGACAGCACAGAAAACAGCTGATCAAGCACCCAAGTTACAGGGTTGACTGATGAGAGGAGAGACTGAGACTTGCATATAGAGGTTAGGCTTCTTTAGTAAATCATCTCAGCACACGCCAAAAAAGATGAAGAAGAAAAAGGTTTCTAAAAATATCCATTCAACTCTGCAAAATTATTTTTATACACACAATAATAATGCCTTTGCTTTACAAGTATGACAAGCGTTTGAAAGTTCCACACAGAAGTTAGCTTACATTCTCTGCACACCTGATCTGGTAAGGTCTTTGAAGCGAGCATAAACATAGTCATATTGAAGTCATATTGAAAAATAAGCTCTAAATTAAAATGAAGTGCTTCATCTTGTCCAGGCCCAGTGCAGACATTTAAATAATCCCTGTTAAACAATAGGAGGACCCTCACAGGTGTGCACTAAAGTAATAGAGTGTGCTCAGGCTATGTGTGGCTCAGCTGTCCCTGTAGGTGTGCAAAGGATGTCATTTAATTACATTTGTCTCACATTAATCTCTCAAATTAAAACCACAGCCACCATTCAAGGCCACAGAGGACTGTACATTGCAAAATCATTTATATAGATTATCTCATTTCAGTTTTAATTTGACTCTGAACAAGTGCATGCTGGTACTTACTTTAGAAAATGACCTCCAGTTCATATCGCCAGTCCCTATATACATATGCTTACGGTCCACTATCCAGAATGAAGAATTCAGGCCCCCTCTGGTGAAGGCTGTCATATTAACAAAAGAAACCTCAGCACCTAGAAAGCATAGAGATGATCATTTGCCTGTCTCCAGCACATTGGTCTGATGGGATATGAGTTCAAGTGTGAATCCACCCAAGAATCACATCAGTCAGGTTTAGAAGGAAATGCTATAGTGACATCACAAACACTGTTCCTAAATGCAGACATATGACTGACCGTGTTCCACCAAGGTCTTCAGCTCAACTGAATTAGTCAGGCTGCTGGCAATCTTCAATTTAACCCCTCGAGATTTTAGTCCAATCAGTCTCTGGAACAAAAGTTGACCCTGAGAAGAAACCTGTGTCAAGCATTACTGTAGACAAGAATTTACAAGTGTGGCTTTAAAGGTCGATACAATCTCAGCAAGACTAATTACATTAAAACAGAGTACAGTGCATCTTTAGTAGGAATTAATTGGATTGTGCCTTCTAAATGTCCAATAGAATGGTTGTAGACAAGCACACAGCACTTTGTACCTGTTTTGCAGAGCCTGGTTTGGTGTCCGTGTCACAGGAGTTGAGGTTCCAGACAGGTGACACTACCTCGATGGAATATTTGGCCAGATCCAAGAGTGTGTGGAAGCCAGCAGACAGGGGCATGTTTGTCTTGGCATCGGCAGGGAAGAGGTCCTCAGGAATATTCTCCACAAGAACAATGCTGGATATGACAGAGCAGGTAACTGATCAATCAATTTATCATTTTATATAATTTTATCTACTATTAAAGCCCCCCAAATGTCAGAATTAACCCATTCACGAGTGACAAAACCAGAGTCACTAATCACTAATCACTATCACTAATGCTAGTTCCAAGCTTTAGCTCTTTTAAATATCCCAATATGTTTGATGGTGTGTCCAGAAAGGATAACTCACTTTGTAAACTAATCCACAGAAGTGGGTCATCGTACATTAATGAAGTTGGCTATACAGATGTCTACAGTTTTCTTACCGACAGTTCCTGCTGCAGTTCTCCTCTGTGATGCCGTCTTCACTATCTCCCCAAATGTCCACGGAGGAGAAAAATAAAGCCACCAGAACAGCAAAGCAGCAGACCAGGGCAAAGATAGCAATACATTTTTGCTGGGTCTAAAAAAAAATAAAGACAAATGTAGTTGTATCCCACTAGGTTAAATTGAAGCATTCCAGTTACAATAATTATATAATAATTAATAATTAAATAAATATCACTAACAAACTTAATACTCATACTTTACTGAGCTAATTTTAGTCCTGATGTGATGAAGTGTGAACACGCCTTTAAAATCCAACTTTTCTCCAACATTGATGTTAGATTTAACTTTTAATGGCATACGACAAGATAATGATTAGCTCACCATCTCTGATGCCCTCAGGTCAATATCATTGATAAGAGGATAAGATGTGTGATCAATAAAACAACAACAAATACAGCAGTCCTAGTCCAGCTAAGTTAGACACCACTGATTTGACAACTCTGCTGCAGCTGAGGAATCCCAAGGTCTGGAGCACACACCCACCCGCTTTTGCAAATCCCACTTTAGACCAAGAACAGGGGCCAACTCAAGTGGAACGCTCTCCCAATGAAGGCAAATTGACACACACTAAAGGATAGCATTGGTGTAGAGTATACTGTATATTGTCAGCTTTGTTGCTGATGTAAAGCCCTATGGAGGAGACTTTTATGACCTCTGTGCCAAGGGTAAGAAATGACATACAAGAAAAGTGAAATTACTTTCTATAGTGGAAGATGCAACAATAAGGAGTGGTATATCAACTACCACTGTGACAAAGGCAGAATATGGTCACACTCATTATGCAACAATGCATTTCTTTCTGAGGGGCTGAAGAGCTTTGATTCAAGTAAAAACTACAGAAAAACCGCTTGCAATTTTGCCTATGTTTGCATATCTTACCAATCAAATTTTTGCTTGCTTAGCTTTGTTGCTTTCAGTTGCTGTCAACATGGCATTATATATTCCCTTTTGTTATGTTTGATCAGTCAGACAAATTGCACCATACGGTGAGGGTATAGGCAGATACTTTCATACATTCTCTTACTTAGTCTATGAAAAGTCAGCACAATTCATGGACAATTGGCATCCTGTATCTTCTTGTACTTGGGGTCAATGGGGTTGTATTCCAACTGTCAAAACGTGTTTGACATGAGGATGGATGTAATCCAGAGGAAGTCTGTCAGAATGTGACAGGTCAGCCAGTGTACAGCACATGCTGATGTCAACACAAATACACATACAACTGTTTATCAGCACAACATATTACATCTGGTGCAAACTTAATTATGCATGTACTGTAACCACTAGAAAATTAGGGAACAAGGACAGAGCCCACTGCACAATATGAAATGTATGATTTATAAAGTCATTGGAGCCAATGCAATATTGTATTGCTATAAAAATCAATTACACAGAAATGCAGCAATTGCACTTAAAACTTCAGTACTACATATAAACATTAACTTTAAATTATTAAAAATGAATATTAAATTAATGTATAAAAAATATATTTTCAATATAGTAGCAGAACATCACAAACATCACCTTCAAGTGCTCTTGCGTGGCTGGTCCTGCCATGGGACCAACACCTCGTGGAACTTTTCAGACAGGTGTAAAATGTTCGCTTACATATCCATCTGTGCCCTTGCCGCTCGCTCTGGACCTTCAGCCTGTCCTGCTCAGTGCTTTTCAAACTCTGTCTTCATTTTGCAGCTCCTACAGCATCCACACACACTCTCCTTCTCTGTTCTGTGTCCTGGTATAGTTCCCACAGCCATAACTTGTGTTCACTGTGTGTGCCTCTCCTCCACACCAGCACTAAGAAGCAGCAGACAGAGACAGACCAACCCCTCTTGTTCAAATGGCCAATACACAGCTGTAGCTATAAGTCAGGCACACCCCTCACTTGCCACCACCCTCTCTCTTTCTCATCTTTTTGTTTCTTTTTATCTGTTTTCTGAAAGAAACCCCCATTGTCTGGCACTCCAGGGCTGGCTGCCAAAACAAGATGGTGACAGTTGTATTAACAGTGCTACTGCAAAGTTCTGTTGCTTGAAGTATACGCTCATTAGGTCAGAGTAATCATAGCATAAAAACATACTTTTTTCACAAGCATGGGACTAAGCTTCATTTGGCTTGCCTAACTTAAACTAAATTAATTAAATGAAATAGAAATGTCATTGTTAATCTAAGTGCACTAGTGCTTACATGTTCGTTTTGTAAGCAGAAGCCTTTTAGCTGACACTGTGTACTGTATGTCAGAGCAGCATGTGATGGGAAACAACGGATGTAATGAGATATGTGTAAGAAACAGTAGAAGCTGAATGGCATTGAAGAGCAAAAGAATTACATCTTATTGCAGGATATAGATAAAAGAAGGGCTGTTTTGTCACAGGCCTTTTTAAAATTATGTACTGAAGTAACCACAGAGTTCATTTGGCCTTGATCCAAAACTCTATACATTATTAATACTTTAATTTTACAAACTAGTAATGACCTCCTACAATATCACACACTAACTGTTCATAGTGCAACAAAGTCATAGCAGTGAAACCTGCTGTGGCAGCAGGTGACCTTTACAAGTCAGCTTCAGAGAGAACAGAAACCGAGGGACACTTTCTAAAAGAGAAGAGAAGTGTTGTTTATTTGTTTTAAAGAGTGGTTAAATGTTAACTGAGCAACCTCATAGTGTGCATTTGCCCGTATACTCTGTCTAGACTGGATAGAGAAAGCTCTTGTTTTGAAGTGACCATCAATAACAGTATGTTGTAATGTAATGAAAAGAGCTCTCTGCAGTGCTTCACTTCTCCTAGTATAGTCCCACTTGGCCAAGCAATTGCTACAGCTGGCCATATTTTTTTAGCAGATTTGCTATTTTGCACAGTAAATCATATGCATCAGAACATAAAACAGTTTTATTGTATTATATTTATATATATTGTTTTTAACAGTGTCCTAACTAATCAATTGGCAGATTTAATAAACCAAACCAGTGTCTCCCATCCTCTAGTGAAATAAACTTTGAGACAATTTTCTGATCCTGACTTTGAGTGTCTAAGTTTACTGCACTTTAAATGTAACAAGAGTCCAGCGGAATGTATTTTTGCCACAAGCCTGCTTTGCTGTCATGACTGTATTTACATTTGATTGATGTGGATTCTCTGTCCATACCACTGTCAGGCTCCAGCAAGTATACAGATGCATGATCAGGTAGGACTTTCTCCTTCACACCTGAAATCCAACAGCAGGCCTCTATATCCACAGGGCACTGCTGCCACACTCCGGTGTTGGGGTGATAAGTGCTGAGTGAAGGCTGACTAGGAACAATGCCATGGGAAAAGGTTGGGCCACGTGCCAATAGGAGCAGCGAATGAAAGAGCATGTAGGGTTAGAGAAGTAAAAGCTTTCACTCTATAGCTCCACCACTGACAGCCAAATCGAAAGGTGAGGAATGGATTTATAATAAATAATTCATGTTTTCCTTCTGAGCCAATAGAGTAGTGAATTCAATTAGACAGAATAAAAAATGCATGTGTATGAAGTAATTTTGTTTTGTTTCAACCGTTATTTTTGAAAAGTTGCTAATACATAAACAAGATTACCCTCCACTAATTTGTAAAAGAGATATAGCCTATTGGTAGCATATCCATTTCCATCTATAAATGATGATGATGAATTATTTGAGGTGGAAAACTTCAAATCATGGAAACATGTAGTTGGATATGTGAGGTCAATTTACTTTCACTGTGACACAATACATTATCACACAAATTAACTCTGTCTATTGAATTTTAAGGCTGTATATTTATTAAAAACAACAACAAAAACAAAACATAACTCAAATGAATGACATGTAGAATATTACAAATCTTTGGATACCCATAATAAGATTTGAGTTAAACTCAAATAAACTCAGATTTTGCTACAGTCTTTCACAACTGTTCAGCATTTGTGTGAACTGTGAAGTATGTTCTATTGCTTCAGCCATTGTGGTAAGAGGTGGTCAGCTTTGTTATTTGCACAGTAAGTCATGCTGCCATGCTCTGAGAGGGAACTAGTGATCCTTGTTTGCTCACCTTTTCCAGTTTCTCTTTGTGTCTGAGGAAGATGGATGCGGAGTAGCCCTGTTGCTGGATGGCGCTGGAGTTGCTACTCTTCACTGGGCATACATAAACAGGGGCTGCTGGGGAATCTTCCACTTGCAACTCGAATCTTGCATCTTCAAACAACTCCATCGATGATCAGTTAATTTTGGACAATAAGTGTCATTTAATACAAACTAATAAAGATTGTAGCTTGGTTATTTTCTCGAGCTGACTCAGCCTCCCTCGGTCTCTGACATTATGGACTCATGCCATTTATCCATCTCAGGAATAGTTCCACAGCGAGTTAGGGAGGGGCATATGGACGGCAGCAGTGGGCTTTTAGACAGGGCACGGAGGTGCAACAGGAGACAACATGAAGCACATTATAGACAGGAAGTGAAGAACAGTAATCAGATTTGGGAAAAGTGATAAGAGATGCACTTTCTCACATTCAAACATATTACATTACATCTTTCACAAGTTGCAGCATGTACTGTGAATACAAATTGCCAGAGGCACAGTGCCCTCTGCACATTTCACCTCAAGAAACATTTTGCACTGGCCGTGAAAGTCACCATATGCTTGAGGCAAAGTTCTTAAAGACACCAGCAACAAGAGAACTTAATCTAGTGTTTAACAAAGACAAATTATTCTTTTTTTCTGATATTTAGTAGTAAAGACAAATATCTTTATTTTACATTTTGTTCATTATAAACTGAACCAGCCACACTTTTTCATATTGACATTCCATCATATTAAGCCCTGGATTATCATTTAATATGTCTTAATTGATGTGTGATATTTTTGAACCCTACACATATGACCTAGAGTTTTAAATTTTAAAATAATTGCAAGTAAGTATACAGCAGTGGGGTGAGATAGGGGATAGGTTAAAACTGATTTTTTTCTAAGCACTCAAGCCAAATGCATGAAAACCTAAACTTGGAGCAATAAGTTGAAATACAAAAGGTAAATGATAAGGGAACACAGTTATAACATGGTTTAAAGTTCATAAAAAAGTTTATTGTACATAATATATCCTCATAAATAATAATAATATTGAGCTTCACTTTGCTATCTTCAGTCACTCCCTATCCTCAAATGGTGAGTTTATTTCTACAGCCACAGCTGCCCTAGTCTAGACTGTCAGATGAGACTCCCTATATGCACCATTGCCATCCCAGCACCATCAACCACTCACATACACACTACATAGTGAATGCAAAAAATCCAAGGAAACAAAAGCAAACCATACTCTTAGCTTCAGGGGGTCAATGTCATCAATGTCTGATTATTTCTTCTAATATTGTGCACTATTTCTCCTGCTGCCTTGAGTGGATTCTGCTGATATGGCACAATTTTTCCTCTACTCCCTGATGCCCATAAGCACCAGTGGTCCATCAATGAGGGGCTGCACAGTATGTAAACACAGCCTGTACCACATTGGTCTCATACATCTATGTCTGGCGCCATACTGCTGCTTCATCATCCAATAATGCTGAACACTGCACAGTGCCCGTGCTGTGTCACCTGACAGTGGACTTTTACCAGACTTTATTAATTTTGGGCCCCTTGATGGGTTTTTTGGGGGCCTACTGTTGACAACTGGGACATTTGAAAACACACTAGTAATTGTAAAATGCTAACTTTATAAAACTAAAATAAAGGGGATCAGAGTATTTCATGGTAAGATTGACATCTTACCGGCAGAAGTGCAAGAATAAAACAGATGTTAAGGAAGTAGAGCAGACAAACTAAAGCCAATTAGTTATGCATTGGTTTTCACAGTGCAGTCTGTAAAATCTAATGTATCCTCTCTAATAGCTATCATATAGAACTGAGGCCTCACAGGATACAGAGGCAGAGCACTCTGTTCAGTCCAATATGCATCTTAGAAAGGATCTGTATCTTATTCGAAAAGCACATAATTATAGTCATGCACTTTTATTCAAAAGGAAACATACAATACACAGTATTGCAAGATCAACATTAAACTAAATATTGTGCAAATAAATAAACAACAAACAAATCTTAAAAAAACCCCAAAAAAAACAGGTATAAATACACACAGTGGCTGCTAAACAAAAGAGCATTTCTTTATTAAAGATATTTTGGCTAAAATGCAGAGGAAAACTGGGTTACATTCATATGTAAACATTGGTATGAGGCAAGACACGGGAAAACTTCCTTGATTTGCTTTAAAAGAATAAATACTAAAGATCTAGAGGCAGAGAGGCTAGTAACTGCCTCATGATGTGGTGCTGCAACCCCACATTTACCCAACCCTGTTAGTCATTTGGTCAGTGTATTCACAAAGTATGAAGAATTGGTCATGGAAATTATTGTTAGTAATCGTCATAAATGTTCTAATAAAACACTTAGCCTATGGCCACACACACTGTGCATCACGTGTTTCTTAAGGACTGTTTGATATTGGGCACTTGTGACAGAACATGTTTGGAAGAATTAAGGAGCTACATATAAGTAATAATTTGCTTATTATCAAGATATAGACAGTTTCCTGTTTACTTAAACACCGTTGCACTTTTTTATTTGAT